CGATCTTAGTGCGTGAAATACTGTCCCAAGTCTATTGACACCGCGCTCAAAACTACACATTCGAGTCTTCAACGTACGCACCCTATATCAAATCGGCCAGCAGACCTCCTTGGCTAAAACCCTAGAATCTCGTACTATTGATGTTTGCTGTGTCTCTGAAACATGCATACAGGATCCTAGTGTGGTAATTCACTTGACCTCACCTCGCCAAAACGGGCAGCCGACGAGATATACCCTCCGTTTACCTGGTGACCCGATGCCTATTTCTCATGGACTGGCGGGTGTAGGCATAGCACTGAGTACGAGGGCAGAACAAACACTATTAGAATGGATCCGCGTTAACAGTCGACTATATGTTGTCCGACTAAACGACTCCGTAAGAACACGTCACCTTTTCGTGGTTTCTACCAACGCTTACACTGACTGAAGCCCGGATGGAGTGAAAAGTAGCTTTTACAGAAATCTCTTTGAAGTTCTTTAAGTAGCTAAACACTCGGACATAATATTTGTAGCAGGTGAATTTAATGCCCAAGTAGGTAGCTCAAACAAAACAGAAAGACATTTGGGTGGGTTTTTTGGAATTCCAGCACAGAGAACAGATAACAGTGATTGTCTGCTGCAACTGTGCCCAGACTATCGTTTATTTTTAACAAGCACTAATTTCAAGCATAAGAAGAGACATAGTCTAAAATGGCGATCACCTTCACCAAACCAACGATGAACCCAACTAGACCATATTGCCATCAGTCATCGTTGTTGAGGTTCGAAAGAAGACTACTGCTCGTTCTGGAATACATGCTTGGACTCCGATCATGTTCTAATACAAGCACGCATTTGCTTGTGCTTCACTGGACACGGTAAAGCCACATTAAAAAGACCCATTCGAGTTAAACTCAGTGACGACAAAGCCAAAAGTAAATTACGGGAACAACTTAGTCTATTCCGAAAACGAGGCCGACCCGGATGTTGCTTAGCAAGATATACAAACAGCAGAGACATCTACTAGTGATTTGAAACAAAGGACCACGAATAACCAGTGCATTTGTGCTACATCTCTTGCACTGCTAGACTCTCGTAAACTTATCCCATCAGGCTCCGAACACGATGATGAGCGAAAACAAATGAAATCTAGGTTAGCCCAAAGTCTATGGAACGATCGTGAGCAGTGGTGGCCAACGAAAGCAAAACAGATGGAAATGGCAGCGGCTGTAGGTAACATCAGGCAACTTTTCAGACTAATAAAAAAAGCCGAAATCGAGAAGTCAAGTGTAAGACAATCTCTGAAAAAGACAACATTCTCATCTGCTCGCGGTTTAGAGGTTTAGAACGATGGACGAAACGCTTTAAGGAGGAATTGGGCTTGCCTCCAACTATTTCACAGCTACCTACCATTTTTAAACATTCTGAACGGAACATTGAAATAGGCCCCCGACTCTAATTGAAGTTCAAAAAGCTGTAGCTAGTCTGAAACGAGGAAGAGCAGATGGATTGGCTCAAGAGGTCTTTAAGGATGGTGGTCCAATTTTAGCGATTAGGTTGATTAATATTTTAGCTAAAATCTGAGAGTTGAATGTAATCCTATCTGACTGTTCGCAATCACTGATTGTCCCAATATATAAGGAGTCAAAATCATCCTGTGACAACCACAGAGGGATTAGTTTAACTAATATAGTATCTACAATACTAGCCTCGATAATTATCGGATGCCTAACTAGGACTCGTGAACTGCAAACACGAGGAAATCAGGCTGACTTCAAACTTGGTTGTGGCTGCATCGACCACATATTCATCATTCGTCAGATCTTAGAACACAGACATGCTCATCGGCGTCCGACAATGATAGTTTATGTTGACTTAAAAGCAGCATTTGACTCTGTAGACCGAGAGGTTCTGTGTCAGTGTCTGCCATTGAAAGGCGTACCCCAGAAGTACATAAACCTTGTGAAGGCTCTCTACTCGAACACTACTAGTCGAGTCAGAGCTTATGGCGAACTGTCATCTACTTTTGCAACCTCAAGTGGTGTCCGTCAAGGCTGTCCACTTTCTCCATTTTTGTTTAACTTCATCATAGACCTATTGATGGAAATAACTTTCTCGTCGACTGAATTCTCAGGTATTGATCTCCTACCAGGAGGTCCACTTATCGACTTAGAATACGCAGATGACATAGTCCTGTTTGGTGAAGACGCTGACAAAATGCAGAGTATTTTGATAGCACTAAGCAACAATGCCAGAATGTTTGGGATGCGTTTCTTCCCCCTCGAAATGCAAGTTATTGCTTCAGCGCTGACTTGGGTCAACGCCTGAACTGTGGATAGAGAGTGAAGTAGTCAAACACGTCGACAACTTCACTTATCTTGGAAATCTGACCAGCCGTAATGGGTTGGTGTCTGATGAAATCTCATCACGGATTCGAAGTTGTCGTTTGGCTTATGCCAACTTACGTCACCTTTGGCGAAGGCGAGATATCCGTCTATCACTTATGGGACGACTATACAGGGCAGCAGTTGGTTCTGTTTTATTTTGTGACTGCGAGACGTGGCCAGTAGGGATAGAGGATACTCGTGAGTTACTAATATTTGATTCCAGATGTCTTAGAAAGATATCTGGCACTGCTGGGATCATCAGGTAATAGTGAGTAATAATGAGGTTAGACTCAGGGTATTAGGGAATGATGGTAAATCAATTGATGAGTTTGTGAATCTTCATCGACTGGGGTGGTTGGGCCACGTATTACGCATGCCTAACCACCGACTGTCACGGTGCACAATGGTGACAAGTGTTGTAGAAGGTTGGAAGAAAGTTAGGAGTGACCAAACCAAAACGTGGTATCAGTTCTTGGAGTCACTAACTTCTGGTCTGAGCCATGTTGGTATATGCAGACTACTTGGTCGGGGTCCGTGTGACTATCGTAACCAATGGTTGGAGACTGTGGGTGACATGGCTCGGAATCGATCACAGTTGGGTGGGTGTATACACTTTCTGCCTTCCCTTAATATATTACTATCACTGAAATAACTACTTCTATGAATTTGGTGATCATCTTGTTGTGCTAATCAGGCGTGGCAACTTTGACCGATTCATATATGTGCCTGATCCTACGTTGTAGCTGACTGACTGAGTTACCCCCAAATGCCCTGGTACGGCCGAGAGTGGGGAGTCCGCTCTCCCTCTCGAAATGCTCTCACATGGCCTCGCGTATATAGCCTCTGCCAGGGAAGTCCTACTCACTGCCTTCTCGTGGCGGGGGTGTTGTTTACGAAAATGAGAGGACGAAAAGCGAATGTCCGGCGCTTTAACTGGATTCCAAACCAATGGGGCACATGGGTTCCAGTATCCTGCGGAACAAATGGCGTATGAACCAATTGTTGGTTACCGGCTTCCATGGGACTGCATCTCCTTACGATGCTTCACTGCCTTGTGGAACAGACCCTCAGGTCGAAGGCTCGGGGTGTGGTCCCCTAAGAAAACCACCTGCTTCGGTCTGGGCACCCGGGCAGTATCACAGCCCTCACGCATATCGAATGAGATTTGTGTGGCGCATATGTATTTGGTGCCTCTTTGTACCAATATCTGTGTTGAAATAAATAAATTTATCTATTCAGACTCGTATGTCTGCTACTCATATGCATACTAGGGATATACGTACCCTTCATAGATTTCGTATACTATCTTTTGGAAACGGCGTTATAGTGAACGAACTCCAGTCCAGTAATGTACACGAAATTAATCTTGGGATATATGTAAATGACGAACGCTGAATAATCGAACTAATAGTCAGATAAGACTGTTAAAACTCATTTCACTAGCTATTACGTTGCTACTAGTCACACTACGGTAGTAGTCATATTACTATAAAAAGAACCTTAGTATAAGAAAAAGAACACTTCGACTGCATGTGGCAGACAATCCTAAACACTACGTTAACAGGTGACACATAAATATGAAAAAGTAATTATCATGTAGAAACACCTAAATCATCTGACCACTAACGTATCCAAATTATTCAGTTAATATTAACAACATAATGACATGACAAAAACCATACCGGATTCCCGATAAATCCTCTGAGTTTTTTTAAATACTAAATAACGGGAAACCCGAAGATAGAACTTTTGAACACCACATATGTCACATACTTATAACAAGGTATTTTAACCATCAACTTATGAATGGTTAAGGATGCAGACAATCACACGACTTCGCTGATGTTTTATGCAAGAAGAATAATTTTTCGTCGTTTATCAAGATCATGAGAAATCTAAAGCGATACAATTTATTTATTTATTTAAACACATAAACATTGGTACAATGATGCACCAAGTAAGTCATTCGATCTGTGTAAAGGTTAGGATACTGCCCGGATGCCCAAATCGAAACAGGTTTTCTTGGGAGGCTACACCCGCAGCCTTTGGCTCAAAGGTCTGAAATACTAAGTAGTGGAGCAATGTCACGAGATGCAGTTTCATGGTAGCCCGTGATCAACATAAGGCTCATACGTCACCTGTGTTCTTCGGACACTGGAGCCCATGTGCACCATTGGTTTGGAATTAGGGTTTCCCAACTCCCCTAGGTAGACCCTCCGTGTCTACCAATCCGGTTAAAGCGCCGGCTATTCGCTTTCGTCCTCTCACTTTTGTAAACAACACCCCCGCCGTGAGAACTTCTCTGGAAGTGGTTGTATGCATGTGGCCATGTGAGAGCATCTCGAGACGAAGAGCTGACTCTCCCCACTATCGGCCGTAGAAGGGCATTTCGGGGCGATGAAATGGAAACACTTCATTCTCTAGAATAGAACTAAGATAATAAAAATATAGCGATGAAGCACATGAACCTGATGAAAAGTTATGTAGAAAGGAAAGAAAGCAGCAGAGATGAATGAGGGGTAGATCTATGTTATAGCTGTAATTTTAGGCATAGAATGTGAAAATAATCAGTCCTTTGGACGTTGACAATTTCTACAACACTAACAGGGAATCAAAATGAAGAAATCACTTTTTATCAAAATAGTCTCTATTTGTGAAGATGCAATGAAATACTCAAAAAAAATGTACAATTCATTAATGAAACTAATCGTTGTCTAGTGCATGGAGTTGTTTCACCCAAGACAAAAGTAACTGACTGAGCGACGTATTTTCATCATGATAAACGCTGTTTAGTCCGGAAGAATTTGTTTCTGAGAGTTCTTGATTGACTGTGCTCTGCAGAATAGGGACCTCAGGACACAAGATAGAATTTAGGTCGTTCCGACACTTTATTCTTAATTGCCTATAAAAATGAGTATTTTTATACATATCTCCAACCATTTGACTTAGGAGTGATGAAATTTCCGTCATACATAATCTGCGTAAAATAGACTTAGTAGCTGATTTGTTTGAATTATTCTCGGATGTCTCATTAAAATTTAAGAGCGAACGTACATTAGGAATGTACTGCGAATCAGCATCACATTTTACTGGAGCCTCTGAAGATGAAGTCTTACACGACGGTATATCATAAGTCATGCTTTGGGGGTTATGACTACGGTCACAATAATTTTCGTCTTTAAAATAATTTCCTTGATGATTAAGAGTAGAATAGTTGGCATCTTGATGTCTGTCGACTGATTTGGGGGCATATATGTTCGCTTTTTCTAACATTTTCAAATGCTTTTTACCGGTCTCGTGCCGAGTTAAATCAAAATGACTCATATGAGTTTGACAAACATGGCAAAAAGCCTTATTAGTAGGTTTTATATTGAGTGGCGCCTTAACATTACACACTTTATCAGATGAGGATGGTTTTAACAAAACATTGGAAGGCTGATTTGTAGATGGTTTGCTAGAGTGATTGCTTATTTTAGACAGACTTTCAACAGATTTTTGGATGTTAGTTTTGTCATTACTGAAATCAGCAGTTGAAGTTCTACACGGATTGTGACAGTCTTCCTCGTAGACATGTTTCCAATAGGCATCCTGGTCACAAAAAATAATTTTGCAAACAAAACACTCAACAACATCTGACATGTTGAGTCAGCCTAAAAGAGGAAAGTGAAAAAAATAATGAGGGAGATCAAGATATGTGACTGATAATATGAATTCAGAATAGGAGCAAGCTCTCATTACAGCTTAGCTACATAGGATAAAATTCTTGTAAACCATTCAACGAGTAAACACCAAGTTGATTTTAAGCCACACTGTTTTTGACGGTTAGTAAAACCACCCGGTTACTTGAATTGAAGTGGTTAGGATGAGGTTGGGACGAGTAACCTACTAGCTGGAAGTTAAGTGCTATAACCAAATCATTTCTATGAATGTGTTCAATTTAACACCGAAAAGAACTATGGCAATAACAGCTATTTTGAGCTACATTTGATGATGAGTCATATAATTTCCAGGACTCTGCTCAAGGGACTGATGGACAGTAAACTAACACTACGACCATTCACTTTAAAGTACTGAGTTGTAAACTATCTTTACAGGTAAGCTCAAGTCAGTCAGCTACAACGTAGGACCAGGCACATATGTGCATCGGTCCAGGTTGCCATACCGCATCAGCACACAAGATGAACACCGGATTCATAGCAGTGGTTAGGTTAAAGGTGGTAATATACAAGAGAAAGATTGCATATGGAGATATAGTACAAGAAGAAAAAATTGGTTCGTAGAAAGAAAGGTATGAAGTGATTTTAATCTCTTAGTTTAAGGGAAGACAGGGAGTGTATACACCGACGCCATTGTGATCGATTCTGAGCCATGTCACCAAGAGTCTCCAACCATTGGTTACGATAGTCACGCGGACCGCAACCAAGTAGTCTGCATCTACCAACATGGCTCAGACCAGAAGTTAGTGACTTCAAGCACTGATGCCACGTTTTGGTTTGGCCGCCCCTAACTTTCTTCCAACCATCTCCAATACCGGATAGCATTGCACGTCGTGGTAATCGGTGTTCAGGCATACGCAACGCGTGGTCCAACCATCTCAGTCGATGAAGATTCATAACCTCATCAACTGATTTACCATCATTTCCTAATACCCTGCATCTAACCTCACTATTACTTACCCGGTGATCCCAGCAGACGCCTGAAATATTTCTAAGGCATCTGTGGTCAAATACTAGTAGCTTACGAGTGTCTTCTACTCTTAATGGTCATGTTTCGCTGCCGTAAATTAAAACAGAACGGACTGCGGTGCAGTATACACGTCCTTTTATTGATAGACGGATATCTCGCCTTCTCCAAAGGTGATGTAAGTTGGCAAAAGCCAAACGACCACTTCGAATCCGTGATGAGATTTCGTCCGATACCAACCCATTAGGGCTGATCAGACTTCCAAGATAAGTGAAGTTGTCAACGCGTTCGACTACTTCACTCTCTATCCACAGTTCAGGTGTTACCGCAGAACAGTCCTGAAGCAACAACTTGCATTTAGACGGAGAGAAGCGCATTCCAAACATTCTGGCATCGTTGCTTAGTGCTATCAAAATACTCTGCATTTTGTCAGCGTCTTCGTCAAACAGGACTATGTCATCTGCGTATTCTAAGTCGATAAGTGGACCTCCTGGTAGGAGATCAATACCTGAGAATTCAGTCGACGAGAAAGTTATTTCCATCAATAGGTCTATGATGAAGTTAAACAAAAATGGAGAAAGTGGACAGCCTTGACGGACACCACTTGAGGTTGCAAAAGTAGATGACAGTTCGCCATAAGCTCTGACTCGACTAGTAGTGTTCGAGTAGAGAGCCTTCACAAGGTTTATGTACTTCTGGGGTACGCCTTTCAATGGCAGACACTGACACAGAACCTCTCGGTCTACAGAGTCAAATGCTGCTTTTAAGTCAACATAAACTATCATTGTCGGACGCCGATGAGCATGTCTGTGTTCTAAGATCTGACGAATGATGAATATGTGGTCGATGCAGCCACAACCAAGTTTGAAGTCAGCCTGATTTCCTCGTGTTTGCAGTTCACGAGTCCTAGTTAGGCATCCGATAATTATCGAGGCTAGTATTGTAGATACTATATTAGTTAAACTAATCCCTCTGTGGTTGTCACAGGATGATTTTGACTCCTTATATATTGGGACAATCAGTGATTGTGACCAGTCAGATGGGATAACGCCTAACTCCCAGATCTTAGCTAAAATATTAGTCAACCTAATCGCTAAAATTGGACCACCATCCTTAAAGACCTCTGGAGCCAGTCCATCTGGACCAGCTGCCCTTCCTCGTTTCAGATTAACTATAGCCTTCTCAACTTCAGCAAGAGTTGGGGGACCTACTTCAATGTTCCATTCACATTGTCTGGGAATGGAGGGTAGTTGTAGAGTAGCTGAAGGCCAGTTGAACTGTTCTCTAAAATGTTCCGCCCATCGTTCTAAACATCTGAACTGGAAGCGGATGAGAGTGTCGTCTTTTACCGAAATAGTCTCACTTACACTTGAATTATTAATTTCAGTTTCTTTTATGAGTCTGTAGAGCTGTCTTGTGTTCCCTATAGCCGCCGCCTTTTCCATCTCTTTTGCTTTCGTTGCCCACCACTGCTCACGGTCGTTCCTTAGACTTTTTCTTAACCTAGATCTGATTTGTTTTCGCTCTTCATCGTGTTCAGAGCCTGATGGGACGAGTTTGCGAGAATCCATCAGTGCAATAGACCTAGAGGAAATCCATTGATTCTTTGTAACCCTGTGGTTTAAATCACTGATAGATATCGCTGGTGTCTGTATAGCTTTCCAAGCAACATCTGGGTCAACCTCGTTTTCAGAACTACCTAATTGTGACCTCAGTTGTTCCTCGAACCTACTTTTGGTTTTCTCGCCACTCAATTCAGTTCTAATGGGTCTTTTTACTGAGGCTTTTTTGCGTCCAGTGAGACGCAAGCAGATGCGTGTCCGTATTAGGGCGTGGTCGGAGTCCAAGCAGGTACTCCAGAATGAGCGACAATCCTCTACCGACCCTCTCCAACGATGACTGATGGCAATATGGTCTATTTGAGTCCATCGTTGGTTTGGTGTAGGGGGTCGCCATGTTAGACGATGTCTTTCCTTATGCTTAAAATTGGTGTTTGCTAAAAATAAACGATTGTCTGAGCATAGCTGCAACAGACGATCACCATTATCCGTTCGCTGTGTCGGAATACTAAAATATCCACCTAAATGCCTTTCTGTTTGGTTTAAACTACCTATCTGAGCATTAAAGTCACCCCCTACGAGTACTATGTCTGAGCGTTTAGCTTTCTGAAGAAGTTCGGACAGCTTTCTGTAAAATTCACCTTTCACTTCATCTGAGCTGCAGTCAGTGGGAGCGTAGGTAGGAACGACGAAAAGGCAACGACGTGTGTCCCTATCCTTCCGAATTCTTACGGAGCCGTTTAGCTGAACAGCACATAGACGACTGTTAACGGGAATCCACTCTAGCAGTGCTTGTTCGGCCCTCATGCTTAGTGCTATGCGTACACCTGCCAGTCCACGAGAACTGGCCATCGGGTCACCAGATACACGGAGGGTGTATCTCGTTGGCTCTCCGTTTTGCCGAGGTGAGGTCAAGTGAATAACCACACTGGAATCCTGTATGCGTGTTTCGGAGACACAGCATACATCAGTGGAAAGAGACTCTAGGGTTGTAGCCAAGGAAACCTGCTGACCGATTTGACATAGGGTGCGTACGTTGAAGGCTCCAATGTGTAGCTTGAAGCGAGGTTTCAGTAGACATGGGACAGTGTTTTGAGCACTAGAATCGTTGGCTACGGTGACACTTGAGGAGGAAGCCGAAAGAGGAAGTTTAGAGTTGAAAGTCGATGTAGGAGGAATATTAGGAATTGAAGAGGAAGGTTGATTATGAATATAGTGATCTTGGGTGCTGTTAGAGGTATAAGGGCGGTTATCACTTCCCGGTTGACCACACCGTGGAAGGGTTCTTCTGGAGGTACCTGAAAAAGAAATTGGATTAGAGGCGGTCTCAGTGACCTGAGAGCGTGACCGCAGTGCCCAAGGGACAACTGCTTGAGGCCGGTCGCTCACGGCCTTTTGGTGGGAGTTTTTCGACGTGTTAGCTCCGTTCTTCAAAAGGGCCTTACCGCCGGAGACGGAAATCCGTGAGGTAAGGTGAGGTGTGCATTTTTAGGGTCGACCTTTACTAACCCCACCCTTCCTTGTGGGAAGGCAGCATCGCTGTCATGCTGGTTGTCTGAAGGAAACACCTTACTGCTGCCACACCTCTGTACAGCCAGCAGTACGACTTCGCCTTCGGACCTTGAGTTTGTTGCTTTTAGTCTTACCGCTCTTCAACCGACCTGTCTGACATGGTAGGACCTTGAGGAACGGTTGTTCCAACCAGTATAGCTCGGTTGCTTCATCACGATAGGCGAGCCCGACCACCACGTCAAGGTAGCAACAACGGTCGGGAGGTAAGCTCCACTAAACACTATGCTGTTTGGACGCCACTGCAATAACATAGTTCTTATACATAGGCAGTCAAAACCTGTGAGTGCAATGAATTTAATAAGCACATATCTGAATACCAGCTATTCAATGTTGGGATTACTTGCATGGTGCCCATCGTGTGTAGGACGATGATATTATAGCTATATAATATTTTAAAAAAGAAATCTCATAATAATATAGCAAAAGCAATGCTTATCAAACCTCAACGCGGAGAACGTGTGGAAGCTGAAGCCAGAAGAGGGTTGGGGGTGGAAACAGAACGAGCATCAGGGAGTGAGATTTGATCCTGGAAATGATTAGCTTGAGTGTTCCTGGACGTGGAACAAAACTTAGAAATAACAAATAGATACTTTTTGATCAATTAATGCTCACTGGGACTGACTATTGAAGCATAAACTTCTGTATAAATTTGGAAGTATGTGGTATGCAATTGTTAATATATTCACCTATGAGTTTTCGTCCAGTTGGCAGTTTTTTTTTCAAAAGACAAACAGAAAAGTCTGGTAGGGATATTCCGTCTCTTAGTGAGAATATCGAGAAGAGAATAAACCCCAAACAACCAATAAAGTGGAAATAAAGGCAAACAAAGAAGAAATAAAGAGGACGAAAGCGTAAATGGAGGGGAAATGTCGATTTTCCCCCCTTACTTCGTGTATTTGGGGAAAATTAGTCGACAATTATACATAACGTACCGCGTTTGAATATGCCGCATCTCGTACTTATATTTTCATATAAGTTCATAAAATAACGCACTGTTTAATAAACACACAAAACTATTGTCATTAACGCAAGTTACAAAATACGAACACAGGGATATGGCTGAGACACATGTAAACTGACTTTGTTTTTGTTTAGCTAAAGTGTTCCAATATGCTTGGTAGCCATCATAAATAACTAACGTGATACAAGTGAGTGACCTGCTCTCCGTTTTTCATGGTCATTATAACTAATCACCTTGTTAGACCAATACGATACATGGGAAACTTTATTCAGGTGTTGAGGAAGTTTGTTTGATTTTCAGTGAACTTGCAATTAAATAAACATGCTTAAAATAACCCATAGTGTCATTGATTAGTACGTAACCTCATTTGTTATTTATCCTCGAATCCATTTTGGTGATGTAATTTTTTCTATCCTCCTATAGACACACATTTTCCATATAACCGTATGCACGAATGTACAGCTTAAGTAAATGATTTCATCGAAAAGAAAATTTCCTTCGCTGAATTCTCTTTTTCTTATTCAAATACACGTGCTTTATTAATAATAAATCACCTGTTCCTTCGTTTGCAAATATTTTCAAATAACAATGAATTGACTATTACAATGAAAATGCATGATGACTGTTGCTCAAGCTTCTGCTATAATGTTGTATAATAATACGCTCTTTCTTTTCAATAAATTTATTTAAACATATACCTTTTTTCACGTGGATTGCAGTTTTAGTGTGGTGTGTTGTGGGAATAAAGGCGAACATAGGAGACCTTTGGAGTTATGCTAATGGTGTTTTAAAAGTTAGAGGAAAAGTAAACAATTTAGCGTGTATTTCGGCGAAAAGAAGACAATTCAGCGACATTTGAGAGACAGAGCGACAAAAAGGGGGAAATCCGCATTATTTCCTCCGGACAGGCAAGAAAGCAGACATATTGGCCCGTTTCCCCTTTATTTTCCCTTTGTTGGTTGATTGGGACAGAGAAACAAAAGACTAGTAACTCTAAAAACAACGCTTATTGCTTTTCTAGATCTACTGCCAGTCCCAAGCACAGGGAAGAGAAGAGGGTTGTGCATGAGGTCAGCAACCTCATCCCGTACAAAACAAACTTTCAAAAAAATGCGAACTATATTAAACAATTTAAATTATTAAACCATTTAAATTCCGCCCTCCGAGTCCAAGGGTCATCATTCAGAAAAATTGTGACGGCTCATGGTGAAAGTTGAGATCCTTCGGAAGACACAGAGCTGATGCCCCCTCTAATAACCATAGAAACAATTCTTATAAGTAAATGGAATGTTAGGATATTGTGGGACACCGTGAGGACCAGTCAAATAGCAACTAAAATGAGGAGATACAACTTTGTCGATGCTCGGAATCAGCAAAACTATGTGGAAGACCTAGTAGCAACAGCGGAAAAAGCTGTAAGTGAAGGAAATATGAGACAGCTATATGATACAACGAAGAAACTAGCAAGGAAATATAGTAAACCAGAGAGACCGGTCAAGGACAAAAAAGTAAGCCAATCCGAGATTCAGGGACAGAGGAACAGATAGGCGAAATACTTCGATGAACCCTTGAATAGGCCAGTCTCACTGAACCCAACGGACATCGAAGCACCACTTACAGACCTTCCTATAGCCGTCACTCCATCAATGACCGAATAAATCATTGTTTGTCTGAACAAATAATCTCACGCTCCACTGTGACTGCACTAAGATCGAAATAAAGACCTATTCACTTCTTGTCTGGCTTCTTCTATCAATAGCACGAGGGTTTCCTATAGGCACGAAACTGGTGAGCCCTTTTTGAACACAAATTAACCTCATTTTTGTTATTAATATTATTTTTTTTACTTAATCGTAAAAGTAGACCTGATTATCCGTAAACTAAGTTGGGTATATAAATAGTTTATTTTTTTATTATCTTAAGTTATTCGTGTTATAGAAACCATTTTTTCGTGCTAATTTTATTGCTATATTTGTCACATACCTCATGTCAGACTTAAAAGAATCCCATAATCTGGAGGATTTGTCACCAGTGGAGATAGACACTGTTATGACTACGAAATCTCGACTTCCAGAATTTGATCTTAGTGATCCTGAGTTGTGGTTTGCTCAACTAGAGCATTATTTCACGAGACACAATATCAAATCTGAAGAGATTCGCTATAGAGATTTGTGCTCTATCCTTCCTCCTTCAGTCGCCAAAGAAGTCCGTGACTTGATTTTAGATCCACCATCACCACAACCGTAAACCATCTTAAGACGAGAGATAATGAACCGTTTATCATTATCGGATAGTCAAAGAATACAAATACTTTTTCAAGGTGAAACACTAGGTGATCGGTCGCCGTCACAGTTTCTACGTCACCTCCAAGTCTTAGTGGGTGATAACACAGTGGGTGAAGCAGTCCTAAAACAAGGATGGATACAAGCTCTCCCATGCTACGTCCAACACTGTTTGGATGCACAAGATCCTGAAGCCTCATTATCTCATTTTGCGCGTATAGCTGATAGAATAATGGAAAGAGGTCCTCCAACTGGATCAGGCACAATAAATCACACACAAAAAGTAGAATCAGCAAAAGACCCCGTCATAGAAGGACTCATTGCGAGTGTTAAGAGTCTCACTGAGGCTGTCACCAGAATGCAAATGGGTCATACAAACAGGAGCAGGTCACCACAACGATCACGATCCAAGTCACAAAATAGGTCACAAATGTCCAGACAATCTGGGCAGTTTTGTTGGTACCACTGGAAGTTTGGTGTCAACTCAACCAAGTGCAGGCAACCATGCGCCTGGCCTAAGCATAATTCCAAGACAGCGGGAAACGAGTAACCCCTCCCCAGGTCGCGACAACTGAGGAGGGGCGCCTAAACAGTCGCTTGTTTTACGTCAGAGACAGAAACTCTGGCTTGAATTTCTTGGTGGATACTGGCGCTGCTCTTAGCATCATCCCTCGAAATAAAACTGAGATTAGTCGAGAAACATCCCCGATTACACTTCAAGCTGCAAATAAAACTACAATCGCGACATTTGGGCAGAAAACGTTAACCCTAGATTTGGGGTTCAGAAGGCAATTCCCTTGGGTTTTCACGGTAGCCGACTTAGATCTGGCAATACTGGGGATGGACTTTCTAGAGAGATACGAATTTCTTGTTGACACCAAGAAACGGCGATTAACACTAAAAGAAACTTCGTTTTACACAAAAGGCAAAGAAAGTCACATCAGCTCTCTTAACTTGATTCAAACCCCTCCAGTAACAACAGCGAAATTTCAAGATATACTCGCGGAATTTCCAAACTTAACTAAACCAAACCCACAGCCTTCCAAAGACAAACTAAAAGTAAGTCACACTATCAAAACCGAAGGTGCACCGGTGTTTGCAGAACCCAGGAGACTAGCACCAGATAAGCTCAAAATCGCTAGGGCCGAGTTTGATTATATGCTACAACTGGGTATTATCCGTCCCTCTGATAGTCAATGGGCATCCCCTTTGCATATGGTCCCAAAGAAGAATGAAGGTGACTGGCGACCGTGCGGGGATTACAGAGCCCTCAACCGTCAAACCGTACCAGATAGGTACCCAATACCGCATATCCAAGATTTCACAAACGGTTTACAGGGTATGAACATATTCACTAAAATTGACTTAGTCAGGGCATAACACAATATTCTAGTGGCTGATGAAGATATCCCCAAGACAGCTATTACAACACCCTTTGGCTTATTCGAGTTTGTACACATGCCATTCGGCCTGAGAAACGCGGCACTTCCTCAGATATCCTTTTTCCACAGTCTCACACTCTTTCTCTTGAAAGCACGCAGCAAACCGTCAGCGATAGTTGTAGAAGAAATCACATGCTACAAAATAAGATGACAAGCTAGTAAATGAAGAGACATCCATGGACTACCGTTGACAGCGTTAGTTGCCACTGATTGTAAGTCAAACATTGAGTGAGTTGATAATTTTCCCTTGGGATGAGAAATAGAACTAAGGTGTTTTTGATAGATAGGTTAATCGAACCGACGTTCCTACGGAAGTCGATTCTAGGGGGAAGCTAATGTAACAGCATAGGTTGGTTGGTTAAGAGTTGACCCCAAACAACCAAGCATATGCCAAAACAGTATTGTTCAAGTATTCATTCACATCCTTATTTTGTATAAGCGTTATATTCCTTACTATCTTATATTGAATGTTGAAAGCTTTTGTTTGTCTGAACAGATAATCCCACGCTCCACTGTGACTGCGCTAAGATCGAAATACAGACCTATTCACTTCTTGTCTGGCTTCTTCTATCAATAGCACGAGGGTTACCCATAGGCACGAAAAACTCAGTAATCTCATAGATGCTGATCAACCATGGCCGACCATAAGAAGCTCATAATTTCCTAAATTCTTGTTAGTCACCTGATGTTTTATTCTTACTCTGAAAACTTTACATTTCTAAACTCGTGCATATTATTTGATTTGTTACCTATCCTTACCATCTTTAAACCACATGTAATTTGACCAGCGTCTCATAAATTATACCACTAGTTATTTCCGTAGCAGTGTGATATACTAATAGATGTCTAACTCACGATACAGAACTTTAATCATTTGATTTGCTTGCAACATGAAACTAGTAGAGACAGTGTACTCAAACAATAAGCCTAGATTAAAGAAATACATTGCTTGTTATTTCGCAAGGTCATGATAGGTCATGTTCCTCCACATATTCCGTTTCATTCAATTCATAGTTTTGGTGCTGTAGTTGATGTTCCATCTGATTAAAGCATTCTCGTTTATATTATATTTTTATTGTCAACTTTATTTTGGTTGAAAGCAGTGAAACCGTTCTTGGTTTTTCAAAGTATGATGTAGGTGCGTTCTTTGTTTTGTAGGTTTATGAGTTCTACTTGTCATAAAGATTCAGTTTGTCATTTCAAAACTTGAGTTATATTTTCATTACTAACTATCAAGTGGTTAACACTGTAACATTACTGTACCTTCATACTTTTG